GGGGGGGGGGCTAGAAATTGTCGCCCTCGCCAACGCCCTGGAGCGTCCCATATTTTTGTATGAGCTTAAGCCCGTGGGGTTGCTCTTCTGGTCAAGGTAAGGAAGGGGAAGAGAGGGAAAATGAGGTGGAACGAAAGTGAAGACAATCTGTCGGATCAACTTTTACAATGTGCAAGGCAACGCTAATGTGTCCCGGCCGTACGATAACTACCAAAAGCGGTTACTCATACTCTATTTTCTGGGAATTTCAACGGTATTCAAACGCTTTACAGGTTTGTATTCAAAAAGATGGTCGAATGCGGGATGCCGAAGTTCTCGCCCAAAAAGAGCTTGCATATTTTGATAGCTGACTGCAATTTTCCTGACTGTGCCCCTTACTTCTATAACAAGGTAAGGTAACCACCAGGTGGAGAAGGAGGGTGCTCCATACATGGATTTGCGATCTTTGCTTGGCCGCAATGGGAATGATGTTCTCCTGTGTGGGAGCGATTTCCACTTGTCAACCTATTTGAACCTGATCTTATTATGCCTCCTGCTTTTATTTGCTTGAAACCCTTTATAATTCCAGGCTGGCAATCATTTTCTAGCCCTGTTTCCTTGTGAAGATGCTTCTACCGTTCCTACGTCCGATAATTCTGTTCCCGCCCCCTCTGCGGCTCCAGTAGCATCAAGCCTCGAAAATAGTGGGAGTCACGCATTCGGTCGGCGCGTCTTTTTGAGGGGGCGTATGCTAAAACGGTTGCAAGCGCGGTTTATGTCAACCTTGTTTTTCAGAGGAAGTGGAGGGGGGGGACGGGAAAGAAGAAAGGGAGTAGGAGAGAACAAATGGAAGAAAAGATAGGGTCGAGAGGTTTTGGAAATATGCATGAGAGATGAGCGAAGTGTCGGGAAAGGCAGAGGCGTGTCCACGGGCTAAATGGACTCGGGCCAGGATGGCTCGTCTACGAGAGCATAGGTAAAATAGGATTGTTGAAAAAGGTAAAGAACACTTTGTATAACATGTCACGTAATTGTGTGGTAATTGTTAAATTTTGTACGTCTGATGGAGTAAGCCAAAGTCACATCTCTCTAGCCATGATTTGATCTCGTGTACACATTGCACATAAGATAGCCAAGACAGTTATCGTCATTTCACTTTTCTTCGCCTCAGGAAACGTATTGCAATTGCTTGCTTCCGTTTGATTTAAGGCGACACTAAAAGTTTTTGCCTCAGCGATTTTGCGGGTGAATTTCTTACACACGTCAAACAATAGTGAAAAAATCTTCGGAAAAGGATGAATTTAAGTCACAAAAAACCTACAGGAGGGAATAAAAAGTCATGGAAGCACAAATAACAAAAATCATACGCTGCCAACTGTCATCAAGCCGTTTAGCTTAAAAAGGGAAATGCTAGTTTCTATAGGCACCACGCCACGTATGCATATGCAAGTGGTACATATATGCAAAAATGAGTATAAACATTGATGTGCACTAGTCATTGTCGCATGTCGTCGCCTGATTTTTTTACACAGATGAGTTCATGCTGTCCAAATTCTTAGGGAAATGCATTTTGAATTTCAAAAATCCGTTCACAACAAGGTCGCGTATTCATCGCCACCTTTCGTGCAATTTCATCTCATCCCTACATGCACCTTTTTTCCATTAAGTATTTTCACATTCATTGGTCTTTTGTGGAGCCTTCAAAAAATTGTCCATGTTGTTGGCTTTTTCCATTAGGCCCCCTTCAGGGATCCCTGCATGACCGCGCTTCCCATCCCTGCTCCATTCCTTTCAAAGAATATTTCGTTTGCTCTTATCTGGGCGCAACTACCCGTGAAAATATTTTCTTATGGTTGTATGCTAGTACTTTTGAAACATTATGGGGTAAGAAGTCTGTTGCTCCACTTGTTGTTATGCAAGCTTCTCATTATATATGCAATTTTCTAACACACCATGCCGTCTAGACATTCTTACGTTCAAAATGCTCCTTGCCAAGTCCCTAGCAACCCAGTCCCTGCGGCTTCAAGCCTCCATTACGGCCAAGGTATAAGACGTGATACTTTAGAAGGGGATACCACCACAAATTGCGATGAACGTGCATGCATAGGAAGAATGGCCCCTTCCCTTGCTCATGCATCTTCCCCATTACACGTGTTACAATCTCTGACGCGGGCCAAAAATCAATTTTTAATATAACAATTCTTACAGAAAGCTTTTCCTGTACATTTGCTTTCTACGGTGCGTGAGACTATTCCATCGCGCCCTTCGCACAAGCAAGTGGTAGCTGAGGTAGCTGCGACGACCGAGAAGTGGCTTGAGACCGTGACGGGACAGAAGCCTACTAGCCCCGCTGAAACAGCTGCTCTCTATGCAAAGGATGGTGTGCTGTGGGCGACCGTTTCTACGGAGCTTCGCGTCAACCCAAAAGAGATCCGTGATTATTTCGATGTCTTTGCACGCTTGCCCAACTTGAAAGTGTCGGACTACAAGCCCTACATTCGTGTGTATGGGGATATCGCGCTTAACGATGGCTATTATACTGTGACGTTTGACTCTCCAGAGGGTAAAAAGGTCACTAAAGCCCGTTATGTCTTTGTGTACAAACGTGATGAGGCCTCGGGAGCTTGGGAGATCATCGACCATCATTCGTCTGCCATGCCCGTGGCACCCGCTGGGCTCAAGAAAGCCACCACTGTAGCCCCGCCCAGCTAAAGTTTCGAAGCAGATTACTTGAGATGTCAGATAGACGCTGGACATGGAAAGTCAAAGGAATTTCGTGGCCATATGTAGTTTTAATCGAATGTCTTGGCAGGGAAATATGTCGCGGATTATGTGTGTGAAGCATTGAACTCAAATAGTATTCCCTGACACTACCACGCATTTTCACCTTCACACAATTATTGTCCAATTTACACTGGCACACATGCACATTAGCTTATACTCATACGCCACCAGTGATGCAGGATCAAGTGCACTTTTTGCGGGGGACAACGAGGTCGAAGGAAACAAGTAGGACTTCGAGTGATTGATGCACAAAGCGTAATTGGACCAAAGAAGAGCATTATCCATTACATAAGTGCGCGAACAAATGTAAATGTATCTATTCTTTTCAAGCTCTCCCTCTGACTAGAGAGCAACATTTTCCACTGTTTCTATAAGACTTAGGTCTCTCTTTCCTCGATAAAGAGTTGACATACTGTCCTATTGGATGTGGGCCCGCAAAAAAGTCAAACATCGGTGTATTTGGTATCATGCATGTGTAACTTCATTCGAAATTTCATGTGAAACTGCAGGTAAACTCTACATAACCCCCAACTTGTAAACATCCACGAATTTGCAGGTATTTGTAGCTCATCAATTTGACAATCTGGTTGCATGCGTAACAGTCCTCTAATGATTTCTTACTGTTAAGATCTTCTCCATGCACTTTTCTTCCGTCTCATGTCACGTATACGTTAATGCTATCTACTCCCCGTCAACCTTGCATCTTTAATCCTAGAAGAACAGAGACCGCTAAGACGTCATCGTGCTTGTGGGAAATATGGCAGCGACGCTTTTTCAAAGGCAAGCGGGCATCATCGATTGGAAGATGTCTTTTGAACCCCTCAGCTCCATAATCTTTGCAATCTTTCGCTCTCGATAGATTCCTTTTGGTCTCATTGCCTTTGAGCGGGAGAGTGCAGACACTTACTCCGTCAACGGTGTCTTCTCTGCCCAAGCTCTGTACGATGGTATCTTCGTTGAGTGGGGATCCTAGAATTTGTCCCTTTTTTTCATCGTCATGGTAGCTCGTAGATGAAGGCGACATGTTAGATAAAATTGCGGCAACGGCGCCACACGGCTGTAGTGAGCTGCTCGCGTTGTCACAATTCGAGGTCAGTGTGGTGCTTTCAAGAGTGCTCCGGCTCGGTGTGATGGTCAACTGCTGTCTGGAAGGCGACGTGCTTTGAGACGTACGCGTGCCATAGTGTGGTTGCTGTTGCAGCTGTTCTTGCGATCTCGCCCGTAATGCAGAAGATAAGAGCATTACAGGCTCGTCAAACGGCCGCACCTGATACTGATATCGGTGGTGAATGACCTTAAGGCCGTAGTCAGTAGGGTAGGTAATAGGGAAGGGGTGAACCAGTGCCTGCTGCTGCTGCTGCTGCTGCTGCTGTCCGCCTGAACGAATATCAAAAGGGCTATTGCCTTTCAAAGACATAGCCAATTGAGGGTAAAGAAAGGAAGGCGATGCATGCGTTGAATAATTATGAAGTCTAGCAGCCGGTACACTACTTTTGTTTGTCGACGTGGCACGAGGGGAGGAGTGGAGACGATGCACAAGGCGAAAAGGTGGGCGTTGACTGAACGATAGTGAATGGTAAGGCCGCTCATGGTCGCAGTTGAAAGAAGATGCCTTCTGGTTGTCTGTGGAAAGGGGGGCTTGAAGCCAGCGGCTGACAGCATTATTTTTACTGCGTTTTGACTCAGCATTACCAGTTTCATGCACACTTGCAGTCGATTTGATGGGTCTGCTGCTGCTCGTAGACAAAGGGGTGAAAGAAAGATCTACACCACCATTCGTGTGGTCTTTTTTTGTA